CGACGCACACGAGCCCAGAGCCGGGCGGGGCGAGCAAGCGCGAAGGCGGAGCGGCCCCCCAAGCGGAGAGGAGGGGCCCGGGAGAGACAGAAAGGCCGGGAGGCGGCCAAGGCGGACCGGGAAGAAAGACCGGGACGGGGCAAGAGGGGAGGGAGCAAAAGGCGAGAGACGCCAGGGACGAGAAAAGGGCCGAGGGAAGGCAGGAGAGGAAGGGGGCAAGAAAAAGGGGGGGGCGGGCAGAGCCCGGCCGGGGGCCAAAGCAAGCCGGCGGAGACAGAGAAGGCGAAGAAGAGGGGAGGAAGGCAGACACGGCAGCGCGGGCCGGAGCAAGGGGCGACGAAGGGGAGGGGGCCACAAAGAAGGGAAAGGCGAGGGCGGAGCGGCGAGCGGCAAGGGGGGAAACGGAGAAAGGGCGGCCGCCAAACCCGGAGCAAGAAACCGACAAAAGCCGGCAAAGGGGAGCGGAGGAAAGCCAGGGAGGGGAGCCAGGCCCGCAGGGCCAGCCCGAGCAGGGGGAAGGGCCCAGGGAGCAAAAAAGCCCACGAGGAGGGCAGGCGGCGCCGAAGGAAGAGAGGAGCGAGCAACGAGGGAAGGAGAGGCGGGGACGGAAGCGCAGGAAAGGGACCCAACGCCAGAGCGGAAGAGAAGAGAGGAAAGACGGAGGAACGCAGAAAGAAAAAGAGGGGCGACGGAAAGGGGACGGGGGAGGAAAGGGGGAAGGGAGACAAAGGGAAGGGGAGGGAGAAAACAGGCCGAGAAAAAAGGCGGCCACGGAAAGCGGAAACGGGAAACGGAGGAAGGGAGAGAAAGGGGAGAGAAGAGCAAAAGAAAAAAAAAAGGAGGCAAGGGCGACCAGGAGGAGGAGAGGACAGACGGGAAGGGCGAAGAGAGGGGGAGGGGGAGGGAGGAAACACGGAGGCAGGAGGAAGAGCCCCGGCGCGGGGAGGGAGGGCCGGCGGGGGGGGGGGCAACACAAGACGGGGGGCGCGAGGAAAAGAGAAAGGGGCGAGGGGCGAGGCAAGGCAAAAGAAAAGGGAGAGAGGAAAAGGGCGGAGAAGGGCGGCGAGCCAAGAGAGAACAGAGAGAAAGAAGAGAAGAGACAGCGGGGAACAGGGGCGGCGCGGGGGGGACAGAGACGCAGAAGGGGGGAGAAGGGAAAGGGAGAGGGAGGGGAACGCAAGAGGGAGGGAGCAAGGGGGAGGGAGGAGCAGGAGGAAAAGAAAAGAGCCAAGGGGAGAGGCAAACCGGGCAGGAAGGCGCAGGCAGCAGGAAGAGGGAAGGGGGCAAAGGGGGCAGAAAGGGGACGGGGCGAAGGAAAAGCCACAGGGGAGGGGAAGAGAAAGGGAGAGAAGGGGGCCAGGGGAGAGACGAGAGACGAGACAAGACAGGGCGGAGCAACGCCAAGCGAAAGAAAGAGGGCGGGGAGGAAAGAAAAGGAGGAAGGAAGAAAAACAGAAGGCAAGAGGCAAGGACAAGAAAAGAAAAGAAAAAGCAGGGAAGGAAGACGGGACAAAGGGCACCAAGGGGGAGCGGGGGGGCGGCAGGGCCGAGGGGGAAGGCGGGGGACGGCAAAGCCCGGGGCCCCAGGGCAAAGCCGGGGGCGCCGGAGCAACAAAAAACGGGAAAGCGGGGCGGCGGGGCGGCGGAGAGAACGCACCAAAGGAGGGCCCAGCCGAAGCAGAGGGAGGCGCGAGGAGGAAGGCGGGGGGGAGGCGAAGCAGGGCAGGCGGGGGGCGGGGGGAAGGGGGGGGGGGAAAAGAGGGGAAAGCCGGGAAGCCGAGCCGAGAGGCAAGGAACGAGGCGAAGGGGAGAGGAGGAGCAAGAGGAGGCGGGCAGAAGCCGGGGGACGCGGGGCCAGGGAGGCCACGAGACGAGGAAGGAGGAGGGAGGAGGAGGAAGAAGGCCGGCAGAGGGAGAGAGAGAAGGGAGAGAAGGCACAGGGAGAGAGGAAGGCGCGCGGGGGCGGCGGGAAGGGGAGGCGGGACAGGGGCCCGGGCACGCGGAGGGGGGGGAAGGAGGGACGCGAAGAGGAGGACGAAGGAAGCAAACGGGAGCAAGGGGGGAGAGAGCGGGCGGGAACACGGGGGAACGAGGGAAGGAAAGGAAAAGCAAAAGAGCGGCAGGCGAAGGGCAGGGGAGGCGAAGGGAGGAAGGCAGCGGGAGAGGAAGCAGACGGGGGCAAGCAAACAGAGAGGGCACCGACGCCCAGCGGGGAGGGGAAAGGGAGCCCAAGGAGAGGAAAGGGGCCCAACCAAAGGCGGGGCGAGGCCAAGCAACGGGCGGGGACCAGACGGAGAGGGGGGGCGGAAGAAGACCAGAGGGGAGGCCCGCGGGAAAAAGAAGAAGGCGGGGGGGAAGGGAGACGCACGCGGGGAAAAGCGGGAGAGACAGAGGGGGGGCGAAGGAGAGGCGAGACAGAAGAGGAGCCGCCCGCAGGCGAGGCACAGAGGGCAGAGGACCACGGGGGAGAAGGGGAAAAGGGGAGGGAGACGGGAGCGACGGCCAGGGAGAGGAGGGGGCAGGCCAGAAAAAGGGGCGAAGGGGACGAGGCCGGGGCGAAAGCGAGAAGGGCCCGGGGAACGACGGGGAGGGGGCAAGCAAGGACGGCGGCGGAAGGGGGCGAAGGAGGAGGAAAAGAGGGCAGGGCCGAGAGCCGGGGCCCGCAGGGAGGGGAGGCGGGGCGGGCAAGAGAGACCGAGGGCAGGGAAAGGCAGAAAAAAAAAGGCGAGGAAGGAGAACGAGAAGACGGAAGAACAAAACAAGGAGGGGAGAGGGAGCGAAACCAAGACAAGACAAAGAGAGGGAACAAAGAAAGAGAAGGGGGGCGAGGCCAACCCCAGGCCAGAGAGGGAAGGGAGAGCCACAGACAAAGAGAGGAAGACGAAGAGGGGAGAGAGGAAGAGAGAGGAAAGGAAGCCGCGAGCGGGAGGGAGAGGGGGAAAGGGGGACGGGACACAGGAGACAACGGAGCGGGAGACACCACAAGAAGGCGAAGAGCGAGAGCCGAGGGGAGAGGAAGCGGGCGACCAGAGGAGCGAGCGAGGAGAAGACGGCCGAGCAGGAGGGAAGGGCAAGGGAAGACACGAAAAGGGAAGACGGGCAGGGGAGGCGAAAACGGGGGAGAAGAACGCAGAAGGCAAGGGGAAGGCAAAGGAAGGAGGGGACGGACGGGGGGACGGAAAGGAGAAGGAGAAAGGCCGGAGGAACGAGAAGGAAGAGGGCAGGAGCAAGAAAGGCAAGAAGAGGGACGGCCAGAAGCGAAGCGGGGGGGCGGGCGCAAGAACGCGCGGAGGGAAGCCCAGAGAGAGGGGAAACCGGGCGCCGGGAAAGGCAAGGAAGGAAGGACCGCGCGAGGGGGGGAAGCGGAGCAAGAGCAGGAAGAACAAGAGCGGAGCGAGCAAAGAAAGGCGGCGGCGAAAAGGGAAGAGGAGAACAGAGAAGGGCGGGGAGCCAGAACCGAAGGCCAACCAGGAGGCCGGACCCAAGCCAGAAGGCCGGGAGGGGGGGCCGGCGGGGGGCGAGAACCGACCCGCCGCGGGCGGGGACAAGAAGCGGAGCAAGGAGCAGCAGAGCGCCCGGCCACGGGCAGGAGGCACGCAGGGACAAAGCCAAACAAAACAAAAAAAAAGAAGAGAAACAAAGGAGGGAGGCCGGGCGAAGAGAAAGGGGAGCGGGGGGGAGCGGCCGGGGACGCCCCCCGCCGGAGAGGAGGAGGGCGGGGAAGAGAGAGCAAAAGGCCAAGGGGCAAGCGGAAGGAGAAAGCGAGGGGGCAAGGAGGAAGGGAGGGACGCAAAACCAGAGGCAGAAAGAGAAAGGGAAGGAGGAAGCGAGCAGAAGAAGGGGGGAAAGGGAAAGGCAGGGGAGGGGGAAGGCCAGGGGGGGAGGCGGGCCCGCCCCCCCCCAAAAACAGAACAGGAGGCGAGCCACGGAGCGGGAACAAGCGAAAAAGCAGACGCAGGAGGGCGGGAAGACGACGAGAAGGCGACGACGAAGGGGAAGAAGCCACCCACAGAGGGGGGAGCCGACCAAAAGGAAAGAAAGAGAACGGAACCCCCCGGGGGAGGGGGGAAGGAACGGAGGCCCCGGCCCCCGGGCGAGGAACGAGGAAAGGGGGAGAGGGAGGGAGGGCGGGAGGGAGGGGAGCCGGGGACGGGCGGGGCGCGAACCCGCAGCGGCCGCCGGGACAGGGCGGGGGCGCGGACCAAGGGAACGACAAGCCAGCGAAAAAAGGGAGCGGGCAGAGAGGGGAGGCGGGGGAGCGCCGCAGCGAGGCGGGAGGAAAGAGAGGGGGGGAGACCCGCGCGGGAGAGAGGGGAGGGCGAAGGGGGCGAAGAGGGGGCCGAGCGGGAGGGGAACCAGCGGAGACAGAGGGCCAACGAAGGGACAGGCCGGCCCCAGGAACGCGCGGGCAGCGACCCAGGAAGAAGCACGGGAGACGGAGGGAGGGAGAAGCCAGGAGAACGGCCGCGGAGGACCCGACCCCCAGGGGAAGGCGAAGCCCCGCGGCCGCCGGGAAAGAGAGAGGGCCGGAACCACGAGACGAGGGGGCCGACGGGCCCAACCGCCAGCAGACGAGGAGCAGAGGAGGAACAGGGGGGGAAAGGGCAAGAGAAGGGAAGGGGGAGGGGAGCGGGCGGCCGGGGCGAGGGGAGAGAAGGGGCGAGGGGCAGGCAGGAAGCGGGCGGCGAAGCGCCAGGCGCCACGCGAGAGAGAGAAAGAAAGCGAGGGAGAGAAAGCGAGGAGGGAGGCGAAGAGAAAAAGAAAAGCAAAAAGGAGAAAGAACACAAAGGAGAAGAGGGAGCAGGGAGGCGGGGGCCAAAAGGGGGGAAAGGCGAGGGCGGGCACGGGCAGGCGGCCAGGCAGGAGGAAGAGGAGAGACCCGGAGCGCAGACGAAAAAAAAGGAAAGGACGAAAGACGAAAGGGAGGAGGGAGGAAGGGGAGGCAGAAAGGGCGAAAAAAAGGGGCAGGGAGGCAGGGAACAAGACAAAGAGAAGCGCGGCAGCAGAGGAGGCGAGGAAAGAGCGGAAAGGGAGGGCGAAGGGGGAGGGACAGAGAAGGAACGGGGGGGGGGGAAGCGCGGCAGGCAAAAAAAAAAGAAGGGGGGGCGGGCGGAAACAAGCCAGGGCAGGGACCCGAGACGGGCGAAGGAAAGACAGGGGGAGGCGAGAAGGAGGCACGAGCGAAGGCGCCGGCAGGGACGGAGAAGAGAGAACGGAGGAGAGAAGAGAGGGACAGAGAGGCAGGAGCGACAGAGGACCGAGGCAGGAAGGCAGCAAAAAAGCCCGGGGAAACGCAGCGGAGAGAGGAACGCCAGGGGAAGGCGGAAGGCAGCGGGGCAAAGCGAGAAGGGGCGCGGGGGGGGCAGAAAACGCCAGGGGCCAAGGGGACGAGGCAGAGGGGAAGGAAGAAGAGAGAGAGAGAAGAGGGGGGAAGAAAAAAGAACGAACGAGAGAAGAGGGGGGGAGACGGAGGGAGGGGGGGAGAGGAGGAGAAAGGGAAACGGGGGGCAAGAAAGGGAAGGAGGAGAAAGAAGGAGAAGGGACCGCGGAAGGAGCAAACCACAGAGGCCCACGGGCGAGGGGACCAACGAAAGACAGGCCAGGGGAAAGGAGAAAGCAACAAAAGAAAAAGGAAGGGACCGGACCCAGGGAAGCAGAACCCGACCACGAGGCGAGAGGAAAAGCGAGAGAGAGGAAAGGGAAAGAGGGAAGCCGGGGGAGGGCAGGGCGGGACGCCGCACGAAGGGGGCGAGAGGGCGAAGGAAAGCGGCGGGGCGAGAGGGCGAGAAGGAGAGAAGAAGAAGAAAGGCGGAGGCGGGCCGCCACAGAGAAGGGGCGGGCAAGGGACAAGAGAAGAGCCGGGGCCACGCGCGCGGGAGGACAGACGGCGAGCCGAGAGAAGGAGGGAGAGGGGAGGAGAGGAGCAGAGCGGGGCGGCAACCAAAGGGGGCAGCCGGGGGGGGAGGGAGGCGAGAAAGAGACGGCAGGGCCAGGCGACGGAGGAGGGGAGGGAAAAAAAAGAAAGAGGGCGGGGGCGGGGCAAAGGAGGGGAGAGGGAGCGGAAGGAAAAAAGAGAGAACGAACAAAGAAAAGACGAAAGAAAAGGAAAAAAGAAAGGAAGAAAAAACGGGAAGGGAAAGAAGCGCGAAAGGGCGGGAGGGCGCAAGAGCACGAACAAGAGCGAAGAAGAAGGAGGAAGGAACAAACGAGGGGGGAGGGCGGAGGGGCGAGGGGGGGGAGAGAGGGGGGGGGGGGCCGGAACAGGGCGGGAAAAGAGAGGCAGGAGCGGAGGGAGGAGGCAGAAGAAGACAAGGCGCGGGGCAGAGACGACGAAGGAGGAAGCGACGAAGCGAGGAAGAAAAAGGGAGGGAGCGAGGCGAGGGAGGGCAAGAAAGAAAGGAGGGGAGCGGCGAAACCCAGGGCAGGGGGGGGGGCAGGGCAAGAGAAAGCAGACAGAAGAGAGCGAAGGCCCCGAAAAGGCGAGGAGGGGCGCGGAAAGGGGCGAAGGAGGGGAAGAGGAGGAGCGCGAGGACGAGAGCCCGGGGAAAGGGACCAAAGACGAAAAGGAGGAGGGGAGAGGAGGGAGGACGGGACGGAGGGACCGGGCGGGGGGGAGGCGGGGCCGGCCGAGGGCGCGGCCGGGGGCCGAGGCGCGGGAGGGGGGGGGCACAGGGACAACCGGGGGAACGGCAGGGAGACCACGGGGGAGCCAGGGCCGAGGGGGAAGGCGGCAAGGGCGGAACGGCCGCAGGGGCGACGCCGGCGAAGAGGGGAGCACAGGCGGGGGGGACGAGGGGCCCGGAAGCACAAGGAGAGGGACGCGGGGGGGGCAAGGAGGCGGGCGCGGGGACGGGGGGGCGCGCCACGGCGCGGGGGAGGAAGAGGCAGGGGACGGCAAGGCGAACGGGCGCGAGCGGGGCAAGGCGACCGGAGAAGGCAAGCGCAGGCGCGGCCCCAAGGGCCGGGGGGGGGCGGGAGGCCGCAGGGAGCCACGAGGGCAGGCGGGGGGGGCGGGGCGCCGAGAGGGGGGGGAGCAGCCGAGAGGGCGAGGCAGCCGCGGGGGCAAGGGGGGCAGAAGGGGACAGGGAACCCAGGGCAGAGGAGGGGAGGGCCGGGGAGGGGCGGGCGGGGCGAGGCGCGAGGCAGGGGGCGACGGGAGAAAAGACGGAGGGGAAGAGGGGGAGGGGGCAAAGACAGGCGGGCGGGAACCAACGCAAGCCGAAGAAACGGAGGCAAGGGGCACCGCGAACCGCGGGGGGCCCAAAGCGGGGGGGGGGCGGGGCCAAGAAACGGGGGGACAGGGCGGGAGGGGAGGGGGACCAGGAACCGGGGGAGGAGGAGGGGCGGGGAGGAGGCGGGGGGCCCGGAAGCGACGGGCCGAGGAGGGCGGGGCGCAGGAAAGGCGCGCAGCGGAAGAGCCGGAAGGGGAAACGGGCGACACCAAAAGAGGGCGGAAAGGAGGGGAGGCGGCGGGGAGGCAGCGCAAGAGCAGCCGCAGGAAAACCGGAGGCCCGGAGGAGGGGCGACCACGGGGAAACGCGCGGGAAGGGAACGGGAGCGGGAGCGGGGCGGGACCAAGAAACCACCGGGGGCGGGGGGGCGGGAAAGGCCCGACGGAGCAAGGGAGCCGGGAAACGACGAGGAGCGCAGGGAGCCCAGGCGGGGGGAAGCGGAGCGGGGCCGGAGCAAGGAACCGAGGG